TTTAAAAACAGTAATGCTTCCTATATCATAACAATGACTACACTTCATAACATATTTCATGATCCATAAAATGCTTTGGTGTATCTGTCGGTTGTAAAAAATGCTACACAGATGGAAGTTTCTCATTTTGTTCTCCTCCTCCCACAGAAACAACCATTGCCCTAGGTTAAGCCTAACATAGGTCACAGAATGAAGCCGCAACCTCTAGCCCAAAGGGTGGCTGTTGGGTTGAGTGTGACGGAGGGCCCCTCCATTACTGGCAACATACAAGCAGCAATGGGACAAAGCCTTAATTGCTAACGTAAATGTTTCAGTTGGCATCCAGGCATGAGGGCTGGCTTCCACCTTCATCTTGCTGGGGAGATGCCAGCAATGACAGGAAGACAATGGTCATGCTATCCCATGCTCCACCCACATTTCCCAGTTTATTAATTCAGGCTCAATAAAATCCTGGGATTATATTACATAGAAACATAGAAAATAGGTGCAAAAGTAGGCCATTTGACCCTTTGAGCCTGCACTACCATTCAATACGATCATGGCTGATTACACAATCTCAGTAACCCATTCCCACCCTTTCCTCATGTCCCTTGAACCATTTAGCTGTAAGGACCACATCTAGCTCCCCTTTGAATACAAATAATGAACTGGCCCCAACAGCTTCCTGTGGGAGAGAATTCCTCAGGTTCACAACTCCGAGTGAAGAAATTCTTCCTTATCTCAGTCCGGAATTGTTTACCCTTTATTTTCAGGCAGTGACCCCAGTTGATTCAGTATCCTGGGAATCAGACTGGTGAATCTTTACTCGACTCCCTCAATAGCAAGAATGTCCTTCCTCAGACTATGAGACCAAAACTGCACACAATACTAAGATGTGGCCTCACCAAGCCCTGTATAACTGCATCAAAACGTCCTTACTTTGGTACTCAAATCTTCTTGCTATGAAGGCCAGCATGCCATTAGTTGTCCTCACTGCCTGCTGCACCTACATGCCAACCTTCAGTGAATGTTCCACCATGACACCCAGGTCTCATTGCACCACACATTTTCCTAAACTGCCACAATTCATATAATAATCTGCCTCCCTATTTTTGCAACCAAAGTGGATGGCCTCACATTTATCCACAGTATATTGCATTTGCCAAGTATTTGTCCACTCAGCCAGTCTGTCCAAGTCACGCTGCAGCTTCTTAGCATCCTCCTCACAGCACACACTGCCACCCAGCCTAGGATCATCCGAAAATTTGGAGATAATGCATTTAATTCTTTTGTCCAAATCATCAATGTATACTGCAAACAGCTGGGGTCCCAGCACTAAACCGTGCAGCATTCCACTCGTCACTGCCTGCCACTCCTAAAAGGATGCAACTCTGTTTCCTGTCTGCCAACTAGTTCTCTATCCATGTCAACACATTACCTTCAATACCATGAGCTTCAAATTTTGTTTACTAATCTCTTCTGTCAAACCTTGTTAAATTATTGATGTTACTATTGTACAACATGCAGATTTTAATCCTAAAACCATGCATTATGAGCAGAACACCACAAGAATGAGTTACCCTAAAGGAGAAATGTAGATAAATTATGGGGAAGTGATGCCTAGTGTTATCATCACTAGATTATTAATCCAGAAATCCAAGTAATATTCTGGCATCCCAGGTTCATATCCTGCCATGGCAAATGGTGGCGCTTTAATTCCCAAAATGGAAGAATATTTACATAAATAAACAAAGGTTATTTCACACTGTAGCCTCCAAATAGATCCTCTTACAAACACAAATTGCTAGAAAAGCTCAGCAGGTCTGTCAGCATTTGTGAAGGAAAAAAAAATCAGAGTTAACTTTTCGGTTTGACCCAACTCAGAACTGATGGTATCTAGGAAAGTGTTGGTTTATATGCAGAAGATAGGCAGAGGAAGGGGGTTGTAAACAAGAGGTTGGGATAGAGCCAAAGGAGACAGAACAGCAGTTGGATAGACAAAGGAGTTGATAACAATCTGGCTAGGAGGGTGAAAAGCTGATTAGGGGGACTGTTAGTGACTAACAATAGTGTGTAATGGCAGGCTATATGATAACAAGGCTTGGTGTGTTGGGTAGGGGGCTAGGACATGGGAGAGTTTAGGCCCTAAAATTGTTGAATTTGATATTAAGTCCAGAGGGCTGCAGGATCTCCAAGCAGAAAATGAGATGTTGTTCTTCCAGCTTGCACTGAGCTTCACTGGAACACTGCAGCAAGCCTGAGACAGACATGTTGGCCAGAGAATAGGATTGTGTGTTAAATTGGCAGGCAACTGGAAGGGTCTTTTTTGCGAGAAGGTAGATGTTCTGCGAAGCGGTCACCTAGTCTATGCTTCGTTTCCCTAATGTAGAGGGTACCACATTGTGAGCAGCAAATGCAGTAGACTAGATCGTGGGAAATTCAGGTGAAGAATTGCTTCACCAAGGTACCATGGGGCTGTGGGGGGTTGTTGGGAGTGAAGGAAGAGTGAACCAGGGTGTCCTGGAGGGAACAGTCCCTCGGAAGCTGGACAAGGGAAGGGAGGGGAATGTGTGTCTGGTGGTGGCATCTCACTGGAGGTGGTGGAAATGGTGTCTGATAATCTTCTGGATGTGGATGCTGGTGGGATGGTAGGTGAGGACAAGGGAAACCCTAATCGCTGTTGTGGGAGGGAAGAGAGGGGTGAGGGCAGAAGTGCGGGAGATGGGTCGGACCCGGTTGAGGGCCCTGTTGACGATGTTGCTGGGGAGTCCTCGGTTCAAGAAGGAGGTGAACATTTTGGAGGCTCCCTTGTCGAAGTTGGCCTCATCTGAACATAGGGGATGGAGACGGAGGAACTGAGAGAACAGAATGGAGTCTTTACCGGAAGCAGGACGCAAGGACATATACTCCAGATAGCTGTGGGAATCAGTGGGTTTATAGTGGATATCAACAGCCAGTCTGTTCCAAGAAATGGAAACAGATGCTGAGGAAGGGAAGGAAGGAGGCACAGGTGGACAGGTGGAAAAGGGAGGGCAGCGTGGAAATTGGAAGTAAATTAATGAACTTTTCCAATTCCGAATGACAGAGGGAAGCAGCACTGATGATATCATCAATATATCGGAGAAAGATTTGAGGGTGGAGGCCGGATTAGGACTGGGACTGGGACAAGAAATTTTCTACATACCCCACGAAGAGACAAGCATAACTGGGGCCCATGCGAGTACCCTGGTCATCCCTCTGACCTGAAGAAAATGAAAGGAATCAAAAAAAAAGAGAGTTGTTGAGGGGAGGATGGCGGTTGGTGGGGATAGTTCAGGCCTTTGCTCCAGGAAGAAGCGGAAAGCCCCGAGACCATGCTGGTGGGGGATGGACACAAAGGGATTGCACATCCATGGTAAAGAGGCGGCGGCTGGGGCCTGCAAACTGGAATTTTGCAACCGGCGTAAAGTGTCAGAGAAATCACAGATGTACATGGGAAGGGACTGGACCGGGGAGGGAAGACTGCGTCAAGGTAGGAAGAAGAGATGAGTTCTGTAGGATTGGAGCAGGCTGAAACAATAAGTCTGCTTGGACAGTCCTGTTTGTGGGATTTTTTGGAAGCAGGTAAAAGCAAGCTGTGTGGGCCTGGGGGTACCATCAGCTTTACAGGCAGTGGGGTGAGGGATGGTTTTGGAGATGGAGGCGGAGGCGGAGAGACCAACAGACGAAATGAGGTCAGTCACTGATGTGCCAAGGTGTGGTCCTGATCCAGGGGAAGATAGAAGGAGCTATCTGAGAACTGACACCAAGCTGTAGTCTGACTTCTACATTGCAGATCCTCCTACAACATGGTATAGTGTTGTGACTACGATGATAAAAATGATGCGCAAACTCTTTGTAGTGCTGTTTATTCACAAGGATATTAGAAAGAGTTGTCAGTATTTAGATTTGATTTTAAAAATAATGGCGTAGACAGTTTGAAATGGCTTTAGAATCTTAATTTCAAATTTATAGAATCATAGAATCCCTACAACGTGGAAGCATGTCCACCGAGTCCACACTGCTCCTCCAAAGAGCATCCCACCCAGACCCCTACCCTATCCCTGTAACCCTGCATTTTTCCCCATGGCTAATCCACCTAGCATAGACATCCCTGGATACTATGGGCAATTTAGCACGGCCAATCCACCTAACCTGCACATCTTTGGACTGTGGGAAGAAACAGGAGCACTCAGAAGAAACCCACGCAGACAGGGGGAAGAATATGCAAACTCCATACAGACAGTCACCTGAGGCTGAAAACAAACCCAGGTCCCTGCTGCTGTGAGGTACCAGTGCAAAACACTGAGCCAACGTCCTGCCATATATAAAATATACATTGTACAAAAATTGAACAGGAACAACAATAATTTTCCAAATTGTACTAAATCATATTGTAGACTGCAACATTTTAGTCATTTGTAATTGCTACATGTAATAATAGAATTCATTATCATTTTGTTGTTCACCAAAACAAACTGCTCAAGTAAAATTTGATTTTATGGTTCAATACAGAAGAATTGTATTGAGGCAATTTAAAATTTTATGTTGTTAACAATTCTCTCAGTGCAAAACAACACACGATGATGCGGACCTCAGGACAAAGCACACAAAAAAATCATTGATTGGAAGTCATTACTAAATTGTTACTACTACAAGATACCAAAAAGGTAAGAAAACATGAAGGTTTTGGAATAATCCTTTAACCTGTTTTTAAAAAGCTTAATTTATCAACAAAGTCACCTTCGCTTTAGCAACACAGGACTGCTCTCTCATTAGAGGGTCACCACACCCCAGACAAGGGGAGAGGTTGAGAAAGAACGTCTATCATGGTAACCTCAGCCTGTGGGGGGAAAAAAAAACAAAAAAAATCGAACCCACGTTGGTGGTGTCACCAATGCTGACAGCTGTCTAGCCAACCGTGCTAACTGACCATCTCCCTGCTTTATGAATAAATACTAATGTTCTCATTACTAACAACTCAGTTGCCTTATATTTCCTACCTTTTCATCCCGGCAAGCGATGAAGAGCTGGAACACCTCACTGTTTGAAATGACAGGATGATGGCACATTCTATTCATCCAATTTTGCAACCTCTCCATTCGCATTTTGATGAATTCCTCTTCAAAACGTCCTTATCAGATTAAGCCAATTAAATGTTAGAATAATGTCAAAATTCAGCATAAATGCTCAGAAAGTATAAGTCAGTACAAAATAACAAACAGTTTCAATTCAACACATCACACATGAATAGCAACACTACACTGGGTAACTCCAGTGAATATTTGATCAAAAAGTTGTTTTGCATTATTCTTCCAATCATACAATGCTACTTCAGCATATATTTAATTCATCAGAAATGAATCAGTTCTTCATACTCAGCACTATAAAGGTCTCTTCTAAATTCATATGTCAATTACTTCAAACTTGTAGAACTTTCTTTCTATAGGCTCTTTGGCTTTTAAAACTCAAGCACAATAGAATTGAATTACTCCACAAATATGAGCAATTCTGAGGGAGTGCTGCACTGTCAGAGGCACTGTCTTTCTGATGACACAGTAAACCTAAGTTCTGGTTGGCTCTCTTAGATGCGTCAAAAAAAAAAGAGGAATTTTTGCTTTATGCAATTGCCTTAATCTCCTTACTTTTCTTCATCAAATCCTATGTGAACCTATTGACTGCCTCCTGATATTAGGTCCCACAGTCACTTATAGTTTAACAGCGAGAAAAGGGGGAAGAGACAGGGAGGGAGCAAGTGAGAGAGGGGCAGCGAGAGTACACATCAGAGAGAGTGTGAGAGAGAAACAGAGAGAAATAGCAAGCGCAAGAGAGATAGACAGAGGCAGCAGACGCAAGAGAGAGGGGAAGTGAGCAGGAGGAGATTCTGACAGACAGGATCCACACGCATTTGTAAAGGCAAGGACGAGTTAGGGAAAGTCAGCATAGCTTTGTGCATGGGAAATCATGTCTCACAAACTTGATTGAACTTTTCTAAAAGGTGACCAAGTGGATAGATGAAGGCAGAGCAGTAGATATTGTCTACAAGGACTTTAGCAAATCCTTCAACAAGGTACAGCATGATGAACTACTTAGTAAGGTTAGATCACATGGGATCCAGGGACAGTGATCCAATCGGATACAAATTGGCCTTACGATAGGAGAAACAGCGTGGTGGGAGAGTTGATCAGACTGAAGCCCCGTTGACCAGCAGTGTGCCACAAGGATCAGAGCTGGGTCCACTGTTGTTTGTCATTTATATAAATGATTTGGATAAGAATATAGGCAGCATGGTTAGTACGTTTGTGGATGACAGCAAAATTGGTGGCATAGAGGACAGTGAAGAAGGTTATCTTAGATGATAACGGGATCATGCTCAATTGGGCCAGTGAGCTAAGGAACGGCAGATAGAATTTAATTCAGATAAATGCGAGGTGTTGCATTTTGGTAAGACAAATCAGAGCAGGACAGTTAACGGTAGGGCCCTGCCGAGTGTTGTCAAATAGAGAGACCTAGGGGTTCAGGTATATAGTTCATATTAATGGCGTCACAGATAGATAGGGTGGTGAAGCAGGTGTTTGGCACACTTGCCTTCATCGATCAGAGCACCGAGTACAGGAGTTGGGACGTCATGTAATTTGTGTACTAGACATCAGTAAAACCACATTTGGGGTACAGCATACAATTCTGCTTGCCCTGCTTTAGGAAAGATATCATTGGAGACTGGAAGGTTTCGAGTTATGAGGGGAGGCTGGATAAGCTGGCACTCTTTTCCCCTGGAGCCTAGGAGAAAGAGGGGTGACGTTAGAGATTTATAAAATCATGAGGGGCATAGATAAAGGTGAATAGCCAAGGTCTTTTCCCCTGGGTAGGGGAGGCCAAAGCTAGAGGGAAAGATTTAAAAGGGACCTGAGGGGTAATGTTTTCCACACAGATTGGTGCGTACATGGAGCGAACATCCTGAGGAAGTGGTAGTGGTAGAGGTAGAGGCAGGTACAATCATTGTTTTTAAAAGACATTTGGACAGGTACATGGATGGGATGGATTTAGAGGGATATAGGCCAAACACAGGTAAATGGGTCTAATTCAGTTGAGGGGGAGGGGAAACACGAGATTCAGCATGCAAGGGTCAGTGAGTGAGAGAAAGTCAGCAACTGAGCAAATGTCACTACTGACAGAGTCAGCAGCTATACAAAAGTGAGGGAGCTAGTATGTCAGTGAGACAGTTCAACAGACAAGCAAGCAAAGGCAGAATGCAACAGTAATACATATAGGCTGACAGCAAAACAAGAGACACAGACACAGGTGCAAAAGTGACAGTGAGAAACAGACAGGAAATAATAGCAAGAGGCATGCATAGGCAGAGAGTGATTGAGAGGGGGAGACAGGTAACATGGAAAGTAAAAGACACACATGCAGAAACCATTAGACGGAGAGCGTGCAAGACAGCGCAAGTGATACAGAGGCACAGGCAGACTATAAGAGATATAGATACACAAGTAAAGGCAGTCACGCACACACACAGGCACAGCGCAATATAGAGAGATCAACAGGTAAGCAACAAAAACATCTGATCACCATATTGTGCATGACAAAATCTTCCAATTACCTGCAACTTGTTTATCTGGAAGAGAAGGAATTGGAATGGCAGAACCAAACTTGATGAGCAGACGCTCACATAACCAGTCAAAATGCTTATATCTGTGGTTGACTGATCGGTTAGTGTTCTGTTCACAAGAAATAACACACACATTTTATAGGTATACACATCTTTAAATGGACAACAGTAGTGGTTATAAAACTTTCATTAGTTATGATGCACAAAATCAAGAATTTGAACAAAAATCACAAATTTACACCATGAACAGAATGTTTCAAAAAAAAAATATGGTACAAAATGTAACTAGTTTTAAATTGAAATAATTCAAATTCAAATGTTCTTAGATTAAGTCCTCTAATTATGTAACTGTAATAGGAAAAGAAAACACCACAACCTACTGGGCTTTAACTCCATTCTTAAAGGACTGAAAGCAAATAAAAGTTAAGTCATCCAAACTTTTTCTTGACTGAAAGCTCGAGCTAGTTGCGTGTTAGCGAACTTAGTTTCTAAGCAACTTTCCATGCCTAGTCTATAGCACTGGGAATCAGATTCTGAGTTCAGTGCATAATCCAATGTCCAACACAGAGCCAAAAGCTCATTCTGTGAATTCATTAATGAGCCAGCTCCTAGCTGTTTAGCCAGTCAGATCAAGGTAGTTGGTGATCAAAGTAGCTGAACTGTAGTTGGATGTTTCTCCAAGCAACAGAAATCCTCCAACTACACTCATGAGGTTACTTTTACCTCCTTCCAAAAGATTCACAAAAAAAGATTGTTCTGATTGATCTATTGTTTTGCATATTACTACCCCACAAAATAAGTTCTTTCCATCACGACACTATTTTCTTTCTCCTTGACAAGTAGCTTTTCACTTGCATCTGTGACTCTTCCAATGTCCTCAAAAATTTCCAATTTCCTGGTCCTCACCATCTCTTCACCAACGTGATGATACTATGGCTTTGAGAGGTTTATTTTGTCCTACTTATGTTTTGAGGAAAGGTTTTAAAGCAGAGGTACCAAACAGTCTACTCAGAGCCACAATAGTAAACAGTTTGAGGCGCCTTGGGTTTTTTTGTTTTAAAAGTTGGAACAGTAGAAGCAGCTTGAATGGGTGGGATCAAGCTCCCACAGAACCAGGATGTTTAGTTTTTAGTTTTTAAGTTTCCAGTAGTTGTTGCTGCTGGGACTTGAAGCTGGGTGGAAGCTGTAGTACATCTCTCCCTGTTACTCTCTTTCTCAGTTTTCTCAATTTTTTTTTTCTCTTCCTGCTGCTGCAGTTGCACGTGAGACAGTTTGTTTCTCTGAACTTGCCTTGCCAAGGGTGTGTTTATGGGCTATTACTATATTAGAACAATTAATTAGCAGTAGTTAATAATCTATTATTGTTAAGTTTTCCAATAGAGTTAAGTTATTCCAATTTTGTCTTTGTTTTGTCATATCTTAAGTACAGTGTATGAATTCAGTGTGTTTTGCTTCAAACCTGGTAGTTTGACCAGTCGAATTGCATCTGGAATGCATCACCTTATACTTATCTCTAAAATAAGAAAAAAGTTAGGGTCTAGACTACCTTCTGAATATATTTTGAGGGGATTTGGTATGGTCCATAACACCACAGATGCCAATCTCTCTACACTTTGCATTCCATACGGAGACGATCTGAAATCTATCCAGCTCTTCCTTGTCCCAATTGTCTGCATCAATTTCCCCCCCCACTCCCCACACCTTCTCCATTAAATTTACCCACTTTCTTCAAATAAATGCTACCACAAGTACCCTTGGGTCCTAGCAATGCCTGCCTTCTTGTGGGCGACATACAACATTCCTTCTTTCAGGTCTATTAGGGCCTACACCATCATTTTTTTTTCAGGAATAATGATCATATTGGTGCCCCTCCAGAACAAAAACTGCCATCGACTTCCCTTCCAATTTCCACACATCTCCCAGCTTCAAGACAGTTCATCTCCGACGCTGCCTTTCCTGGACGTCTTTCACTCTATTTCACTATCAACTAATGTTTACCATAAAATCTCAACTCTCAACTCCAAATCCTCATATCTACAGAGGATTCCATTCCATCTTCCAGTTTCTCCATTGCCATTATATCTATTTCATTTTATTTTCTGAAGTTGGAATGTTTTTGTTGCAATCATACAGGGCCTTGTTAAGACTACACTTGGAGTATTACGTGTACTTTTGATGCCCTTATCAGAGGATGGATGATCTGGCTACGGAGGAAGTGAAACAAAAGGTTTACTGGGCTGATTGTTGGGTTGATGGGATGAAGAAAGACCCCCACAATTAGGACTACATTCACTCAAGTTTAGAAGATTGAGGAGGGAATCTCAAATCTATAAAATTCAAACAAGAATAGAAGGGGAAACTCAGGAATAATGTTCTCAATGACTGGGGGCAGGGGGGGGTGCGGATCTCAAGGTCACAGTTTAAGAATATGGGGTAGGCAATTTAGGACTGGAGATCAAGAAAAATTTCATCACCCAAACAGTGGTGAGCCTGTGGAATTCTCTTCCACAGAAAGCAGTTAAGGCCAAAACACTGAATGTTTTCAAGAAGGAAATAGATATAGTTCTTAGAGCTAAAGGGAGCACTGGGTATGGGGAGAAAGCAGAAACAGTGTACTGAGTTGGATGATCAGCCATGATCATACTAAGAAGGCTCGAAGGGCTAAATGGCCTACCTCTGTTTCTATTTTCCATATTTCTATGTTCAAAATATACAATTAGGATTTAGTCCATAGTAGGGCAAGACTACTCACATTTCGTATACGAGGCAGCTTGAACATTTAGTATTGATATATATATATTTTTCATTTATCACAGATTTTCAGGTTTGAGAGAGCTTGAAGTCTGCATTTATTCTGGCAGATTATTAATGCACAGGGGCTGTATTTTGCAAGGGTTTGTTCAGTAAATCTGTAAATCTTCATTCGAAAAATGAAACAGTTGTGCCAGTTATAGTATGCAATCCAAAGCATGTTAATCAGCCCACACATGGTTGCATTCAGTAGATTGAATATCCTTGGCCTAATTCAAGTTGTGGTAACAGTCAGCAAAGTTGCCTGATGAATTCCTTACACAAGTCTTGGACAGCACAGTTATTACTAGGAAGCAGAATACAATCATTGAACCAATTAATTAGGGCAAAGTGAAACGGTGAAAAGAGCATTAAATTACACATATCTCAAGTATGAACAAATTTATAACAACATTTTTAAAAACTTACATTGGGCGTCACTTGATATTCAATATAACTCTTCAATCCATACAGCTTGGATCCCTTTTTTGGGTCAGCCACCACACAACTCAAAGAGGAAGTGGGATACTCCCAAACTGGACCGACTTCTCCTTTCTAGATTAAGGAAACATTTTGGTTTATACTGCTGTATTATATTTAAATATGGATCCCACAAAGGCCTCTGGGATGAATTTTAATTCCCCCCCAACTCAAAAATATGAGTGGCTATTGTCAACTAAGATGTCAATTTTTAAATTTTCAAATCCAAGCCCCAACCTGCCTCAAAACTGCCCAATTTCCCCATTTTACAAAAATAGGAAAGAGGGGCAGGTAATCGGTTCCTTGGAAGCAGTATTTTTAGTAGTTTAAATTCAATCTTATCTTTTTCCTTTGGATCCAACTTTCCTGGCACCAAATGCAAAGACCCACCTTGCAGTTGGAAATCAGACCTCCACCCTAAGTAGCAGCTGCAGGCTCCCCGTGTGCAGTTGGCTTCCTGGTGAAGATTCTGTCAAAACTAAAAGGTTGTATGTGGATAGCCTATACTATTGTCCAGAACCCTTTCCCCCTTATCTAGTCCCACTACTACACAACTCACCTGTTAATATTGAGAACAATGACGAGCATGACATTTTACAACGTAGTTAATGTTCATGTGCTCAGACTATTCTGCTAAAGTAACACATTGTACTATTATTGAAATATTAGTGTATTACTGGGCCAGGTGTAATCGTCAAAATAAAGGTGAGGCTATGGACTCACTATGATTTGTGTTAAGATTTAACTGATAAAATAGCTGTGAATGAGCATGAAATCCTAACATTAAAAAGCTGCTTATCCAAATTGAATCACTCCATAGTTTGCAAAAATGGCATTTCCTAATTGCCTGACATGCACGGCATATTGTAAAGCTGTCATATGGTAGATAAGGTTAATTCTCGCAATTTCAACTTTTAGTATCCTTTCAACAAAATTATAAACTTAACTACTGCTAAGCAATCATAGACTAAAATTATTACAAGTGAGAAGTTGGGTATTAATCATTGGTCAATTTTAAAGACTTAAAAGTGACATTTTACTTGTTTTTGTATGTTTTAATCCAATCTCATTTCCTTTCCTCTTTTCCATTTGTTTCTCATTAAACACTGAATCCCAACACTGTAACATACATTTCCTCCTCTATCCTTTCATTGTTTATTTCACCATCATTTAATTGGATTGTTATTACATATCACCTTAAGCAAATACTTGCCTTGTTCACTCAGGATCCAGAAGACCCATTTATTTAATTGCATCATTATTAACCCATACTTTCAGAAGTTAGTGGACAAAATATTTGAGATCAAGAAACAGGAGCATTCTTACTTGGGATGATGATGTTAGATACTCAACAACAGCAAAATCTGGCCAACAAAATTTGCATGTGGTGTATTCATTCAAAAAGGATGCAGGTGCCAAAGACTAGCCCATATTAAGTTTTGAAGTTAACCAACATAGAAAGAAATGCACTGGAGTATCTAGATTCCATTTTCTGCTCTCAGCAACCAGGATACTTCTGATGTGTTACTAAGTGAATCCAGGTTACTAGCAGTTTATTGTGATAGGCCAGTTTAAAATAATACACTTTGGAAACATTATTAATTTTTGATCAAGGTGTAAAATGGATGATATTGGACTGGTCATGCATTAATTACCTTGTCTGACTTTCATCTTCACTGTGCATTGAAAATCAGGTATGCATAAGGAGTAGTCAATTTGATATAGCCAAATCTGAAGGGAAAATATCTTTGGCAAGATTATTGGAAATAAATAAATAAATGCTGCATATAATTTAAATTTACCATCCATTTGATTAGATTGTAAATGGAAAGATCAGAAAAACTTATATGTGCATCCTGAAAGATTTTCAACAGAAATCAAATGTGTACAAATGGGGAGTTGTGACCCACCCTGGGCCTGCCACAATCTTGTTGAATGATGCAGCAGGCTGGAGGGGTCAAATGGCCTACTCCTGCTCCTATTTCTTATGCTTGCATAAATCTTTTTCCTTATATTATAAGTAAACAAAACTAGGCACTGAAATGAAGGAAATATTTGTGTGGGTGCCTAAAAATTAAACAAGTAGGATTTTAAGGATCAGAAAGTAGGAGAGACAGAGGTGAACCCAATCAAATATCTTTTGGAAATCCAAGTATGCTACACTTCCTGGCTCCTTTTATCCACTTATTGTTACATCCTCAATTTGCCCTTTCTCAAAACCATGTTAAAGCAATGGAAACTTTTTACTGTAATTTTCACTGTAAAATACACATGACAAAAAAAAATCAAAATTATTCTTCATTCAACACGGACTTTGTCTAAACACAATAATACTTAACTTACAGCATCTTCCCAATGACCGACATTTGGTGAACTAGCCTGCAGTTCTCCATTTCTCTCCTCTGCCCCTTCTTGAATAGCAATGTTATATTTCTTAATTTTCAATTCACTGGCACCATTCTAGAATCTAGGGAACTTTGGAAAATCATGGCTAGTCTTTCCACAAATGCCATGGCTTTCTCCTTTAGAACCTTAGGTTGAAGGTCATCAGCTTTTAATCAGTTACTTTGTCTCTGGTGATTACTTTAATTACTAATTACTTTTCGTTCCTCCTCCTTACAGGGAAGAGCATGGCCAAATACAAAAAAGTCCCAAAAATTAATAGCTAAAGATAAAAAGGCCTGATATATTTTGGCGACGAGGAATCATGTAATTTCAGCATTTTATTGAAATACTTCTAGGCGCATCACATGGGTTGGAATTAGACTTCAAGTAGGTAGAAACATTCGTTTTGTTCACTTTGATAACCGTCATGACCTGACCAAAACATTTGTATTAAATCATAATGTGACCTCAGCATTTTAACATTCAATGATCTCACCGGATTACATAAATTTAAATCAAAGCAACAAACCACAATAGTGCCGCACAAACAGTTTTCCAGTTTTTCTTTTCCATTTGCTCATGGCATGTGGGCATCGCTGGCTAGGCCAACCTTTATTATCTATCCCTAATTGCTGCACAGAAAGTAGTTGTGAGCTTCCTTTTTGAATTATTGCAGTCCTTGGAATGCGTGGATACCCATTGTACTGTTATAAAGAGACAGAAGATGATTTTAACCTTTCAATATTGAAGGAACAACAATATATTTCCAAGACAAGATGATCTTTGATTTGGATCTACTGCATAGTCCTTCTATTTGTTAGAAATACACTTTTAAAAGCTGCTATCAAAGCAACCTTGCTTTTTACTCCAATGTACCTCCTAAATGGTACACACAGCTGGGGGTCAGGTGTGAATGTTGAAAGCTGTAAATGGGCTGCCACTCAATCGAGTTGATTTTTCCTGGATGGTCTTGTGCTTTTTGAATATTATTGGAGTTGCACACGTCTAGACAAGCAGACCGTATTCCATCAAACTGTTGACTTGTGCCTTGCAGGTGATGGACAGACACTGAGAAGAGAAGAAGCAAGTTCCAAAGAAGAGCCGTACTGGACTTGAAGCATTAACTTTATTGCTTCACAGATGCTCCAAGACTTGCTGAGTTTCTCTAGCACTTTCTGTTTTTATTTCAGGGGGTGACTAACTCACCTGAGAACTTCTGGTCAATGGTAACTCCCAAAATGTTGATTGTTGGGAGACTCAGCAATGGGAATGCCATTAAATGTCAAGAGGAAACCCTATGGTGTGAACTCATTTTAACTCACCATTACTGTCTCAAGGACAACTGGAAAGGAACAACAAAACTGGCCTTGCCAGTAAAACCCAACATCCATGGACAAATATAAATACATCAAATATAAACTTAGCTCTTGAAAATTAACATGACCATGGGACTCCATCACAAACAAAACGGCAAAGCATGGTAGTATTGGAATAGCATTAAAGTTAGTCTATAGATCAACCTATAGTAACACATCAAATACATATGAAATCTGTACTTTTTTTTTTTTTTTTTAAGTACTTCGTAATAAAAACATTTTCTGTTCACGAGTTTCAGACAAGCTCTACATATTCCAAGAAAAGCAAAATATGGCAGACACTGGAAATTAAAAACAGAAAATCTTGAAGAAACTCAGCACCTGCAGAGGAAGAAATAGAGATAACATTTTGAGTCCAGCCTGACTCTTCTTTGTAACTGTTTGAATTCTGAAGGGGAGTCATTTCAGACCCAAAATGTCAATTGTTTCTCTCTCCACAGATGCTGCCAGACTTGCCAAGTCTCTCCAGTATTTTCTGGTTTTGTTCTACATATTCCATGATGACAAAACTCAGTGCAGCTTTTCCTCTCTGCCATTCCATCTATATACAACATTGTAAGCAGCTCATCTCCCCACCAGGTCTTTCCAATCAGCCTTCCCCTGCCCCCGACCACACTCCTAGTTATTTGTTCACACCCTCCAACATTCCTCATTCAGCCCTCCACTCAGTCATGCCTTCACTCTTCAACCACATTAACTCACTCATCCTCTTCTTTAAGAACCCCACCCCTACCTAGATTTCTCCACCATGCCAAAATGAGAGCTGAACTGCAGGCTGTCAGCTGCTGCAACCAGGCAGCTTTGTGTTGAATGTTGTATTAAACCAGCCAGTCAGTCAGTTAGTTAGTTTTACTGACAGTCACTCCAAGTAAACTGCTTCTGACATTGGGGTAGCTTCATGAAACAGAGACACTGACAGTTCTGATTTTTTTTCCCAATCTGACCTGCCGAAGGTTGGCAAAAAAAGGGTCCAAATGGCAGATCTCCAAATTCCAATGTTGGAGATCTGCAATTTTGCAGAAATTTCTCATCCCTGATCTCACTAACCCCCTGGGTTATCAAATACTTCTGTAATGCAATTTCTGAGATGTTTTCTGCTTTGAAAGCAGACAATTTATTTGTTCAGTGCTTCTGCCTTTCCAGAATCCAGAATCCATTGAGAGAGTGTGTAAGTAGGCCATTTGGCCCATCTAGTCCACATCAACCCTCCAAACAGCATCCCACTCAGACTCGCCACCTCCCGACCCTATTCCTATAATCCTGCATTTCCCTAGGCTAATCCACTTAGACTGTACATCCCTGGACACTACAAGCAATTTAGCATCGCCAATCCACCTGACCTGCACATCTTTGGACAATGGAAGGAAACCGGAGCACCCAGAGGAAACCCATGCAGACACAGGGAGAATGTGCAAACTCCATACACACAGTTGCCCGAGGGTGGAATCGAACCCGGGTCCCTGGTGCTGTGAGGCAGTGCTAACCACTGAGCCACCAAGCCGCCCCAACTTTCCTCATTGCCCATAATATTTTCTCCCATGTTCCTTTGGCCAGTGAGGGGACAATTAGTTACTTTCCTTTTTATAAAAACTTATAACAACTCTTACAAACCATTTTTATATTACTGGCTACTCCCACAGCAACATGGTGCACCTGGGCATGTCCTAGATAGAGATTTCAACTTAACTTCACCTTCCAAAACATGCTTTGACTCTGGGAAACCGTATGAGTAATTTAAATTCGTTTGAGGTCACAGTAGACATCCTGTCAGCACCAAACTCAGAAAAAGGGCCAGCAAGTTCAATGTTTTCCCATTTCCAACGCTTAAGTAAACATAAGCCACTCTGAATGGCAATTGCTTTAGGTCTGTTTATCAGCATTCTGCCAGGGGCTTTTTGTTCAAATTACATTTATGATTTCAAACTCCAAACTATGTTTTAATCCTAAAATGCATGAAGTGCGAAATTAGACATTTTTGCAACATCTACTCTTTCTTTGGTTCCCAACTTCATTTCAACCTGAATGTGAACTTAATGACTTCTGCATCTGAATGCCTGGTTTCCTTTACTCTTTATTTCATTGTGGTCTGTTTATACTTCCTAACAAAATATAAAGCTTATCAATATTGAATGTCATCTGAGAATTACATGTTCATTTGTCAAGTTCAATATCTTATATTTTGCTGCAGTCTTCCTAAGTATTCCCCCCATTTGTTGTTCTTTGTTTGAAATTTTGATATTATACTTTACATTAATTGTGAAGAACTACAATCCCACAACAATCTTTATGAAACACCACAGTCTGAGTAACTACTCTTGAACCATTCTCTGGATGTGTACTGTAGCTATCCTGTCACTTATTCTCTGATTTACATATTCTAATCTCAGTCAGGAACGTACTCTCGATACCTAATTGGAGGTCTGGTGGTAGTTCAGATTTTTAAAAATTCATTCATGGGATGTGAGCATCGCTGGCTAGGCCAGCATGTATTGCCAATCTCTAAAAAGGGTGATGAAATACTGCAACCATGTTCATTATATATGCCAACAATGCTGGTTTAAAGAAGCGAGCTCCAGGATTTTGACCCCACAACACTGAATAAACAGCAACGTAGTTCCAAGTCAAAATGATATGTGGCTTGGAGGGGCACTTGCAGACAGTGATATTCTCAAGCAGCTGATGCTCTTGTCCCTCCAGTTGATGAAAGCTTTGGATTTACAAAGTACTACTAAAAGAAACCTTGAGCAGTTGTTGCAGTGATAGTACACACTTTGTCTGTGATGGAGTGAGTGAGAATGTGATTAGGATTAAGTTTGTGATTAGGGCGCCAACCAAGCAAGTTATCTTGTCCTGGATATAGAGCTTCCTGAATGTTGTTGCTGCTGCAACCATCCAGGCAAATTCCAACATATTTCTGATATGTGCCTCGTAGGTGGTAGACAGATTTTGTGTAATGAAGAGCCAAGTTATTCACCACAAAATACTTAGCCTCTGATCTGCTCTTGAAATCACATATAGTTGGTTCAGTACAGTTTCTGGTCAATGGTAATCCTCAGGATGTTGCTAGTGGGGATTCAACAATAGTAATGATTTTGAATGTCAAGGGAGATGTGGTAACTTCTGTCTCGCACTTGTGTGTGTCATTAATGTTACTTGCCACTTATCAGCCTAAGCCCAGATGTTGTCCAGATCTTGGATTGTTTCAGTATGTGACTTGTTGTAAACGGTGCTGAATATTTGTACAATCATAATCATTGAACATTCCCACTTCTAACATTATTATGGAGTGAAGGTCAGCAATGAAGCAGTTGGAGATGACTGGGCTCAAGACATTAATCCTGAGGAGCTCCTATAGCAACGTCCTGGGGATGAAAGGACGGACTTCAAATAACCTTTGCGTTCAGTACAACTCCAGCAGCAGAAAGTTTTATCCCATAACTCCACAAACCCTAGTAACTTCAGTTTTGCTAGAGCCCCATGATGTCATAGCCAGTAAATTGCTACTTGTTGTTAAAGACAGTCGTTCTCAGCTATAATCACATCTATGCATTACCCCTGTCTAATACTTCAAAAGAATTCAATCAGCTCAAAAAGAAACATGAACTTCCTTCTTGAACCGCCTGCTGGTACTCTTATGTTTTTACAAGAAAGAGAAAAGGACAAAGAACAATCCAGCAGAGGAACAGACCCTTTGGCCTTCTAAGCCTGATCCAACACATTTTGCCCTTCCATATTAAAACCGTCTTCACTTACAGGATCTGTATCCCTCGGTTCAAATGATTGCCAATCGCAACATTCAGTAACAATTCCTTGATTTCTAGCACTGACAAGGTAACTGGTCTATAGAGATAGCAAGAACTGCAGATGCTGGAGTCAGAGACAACAGTGTGGAGCTGGACGAAACAGCAGGCCAAGCAGCATCAGAGGAGCAAGGAAAGTTGACGTTTCGGGTCGGGACTCTTCTTCAGAAACATCAACTTTCCTGTTCCTCTGAAGCTGCCTGGTCTGCTGTGTTCCTCCAGCTCCACAATATGTTGTAACTGGTCTATAGTTTTCATGGGATGATTTCAAAATTGAAAACTCTTCTGGACCACCTGAGAAAATAGTGCCTCAGTTTGACATCTCATTTCAATAAATGAGATCTTTGGCAATGCAGAATTTCCTCAGGTATTTCAATGAAATGCTACCCTGTACTTTTGGATCTCTGGATTCACCTTTTGGCCTGAGGCGAGAACACCACCAACTGAGTGATACTTATATATCGCCTTAGATACAAGCTAATAAAATGGTTCAAAGTGAATCAAAAACTAAGCCATCTCTTCACAGCTTCAGTTTCTTCAAATTCCTTTCTGTGCACCAAGTTGATTATCCACATTATCATACTTTAAAATCAGAAGTTCAAAGTACATGCTTTAATTATTTTTACTTTACTCTCAGACAACTTCACAAGATTTTTTAGGTTCCAGAAAAATTCCCTTCTCAATTACCAGTGTAACTTACGTGGATTGTAATTTTTTCAGTAGTTTTTACTGGTTGCTTTGAAAGTAGATAGACCTCAGGCCCATGTTTGATAAAGGTTGGAAACCTATATTAAAACAAAGAATGAGTATGCCTCGAATGCAGAATGATGTCAAAAAGACGAAAAAGTTAAAGAGCACTCTATCGGAATGAATTCAGCATTCACAACAAGACAGTTTATCTAAAAACACAATTCGTAAAAAGGTAAATGGTTATGCTAGTAATTATCGACTAACTATCGATTATAATTCTGCTCAGTTCAATACCTTCTAAAGGTAAATTCTTATTTAAGCAAACACTTTACATTCAAGTGAGAGGCACAAAATAGGGATGTGAACTTCAATTTTCAAAACTGCTCTTTTCTCAAAAAGCATTCCAAGAACGTGAACATTTTTTGTTTAGAAGTGCTTCAATTATTACAAATGTTTACAAGGGCTTACCAGAAAATACAGCCATGTATGCAGACATTATTTGTATCGTGATTTAATAGTTATTTTAAAAAATGCATAATATTCATAAAAAAGCTTGGACAATATATTTTGTTTGCCAGCAAACCTGGTGCTAAACACCTGTATTAGCAACTACAGTAAACATTGTGTTATCGAGCATTCTACCAAGTGATATTTCTGGCAGCTCAATATTTATCATAAATTGGGTCAATGTTTAGATATTGCATTCTTTAAAAAAATAACTACAGTAGATTGTTAATCTGAAGTTTCTCTTGGACTTTATACTGAAATGATTAAACTGGGTCAGTTTTGAATACTGTACATGAACAAAGATAAACCACTCAGAGCAACTGTCAGCCAAACTGACAGCTCAATTTTTTTTTGGAAAATAGTCTGTCCGAAGGCTGTAGTGTCAGTTATTATGATTTAACTGAGATGCCCTGCTGCACTGGGATCCTTGACTGTCCAACTACTTCCCAACCCTCAACTTCTCACACAGAGGGAAAGCACCATCTTGTGCATCAGAAATAAATTAACTCTTAAAAAACACAAAGGTGGACAATTCCCCTGGACGAGAATCAGGTACATCCTAGAATGTTTTGGGAAGCTACGGAAGTTGCTGCTGGGCCCCTTACTGAGAAATTAGTGCCATGGATGAGACCCGTGGAGGTTGGTTAATGTGGTGCCATTATTTCAGAAAAGCAATAAAAGGAAAAATAAGGCAACTATAGACCAGTAAGCTTCATGTCAATGGTGGATAAGTTGTTGGAGGGGATCCTGAGGGACAGGATTTACGTGCATTTGGAAAGGCAAGGACCGATTAGGGATAGACAACATGACTTTTTGCATGGGAAATGGTGTCTCACTAACTTGATGGAGTATTTTGAAGTGACAAAGAATATTGATGAAGGCACAATGGTAGACATTGCCGACACGGACTTCAGCAAGGTGTTCAACAACATTCCGTATGGTAGACTGGTTAGCAAGGTTAGATGACATGGAAGGAGGTGAGGTGCGGTGCGGTGGCGCAGTAAGTAAGTCTGCAGATGACACCAAAATTGGAGCAGTAGTGGACAGTCAGAAGATTATCTCAGAGTACAAAGGGCCAATGGGCCAAGGCACGGCAAATGGAATTTAATTTAGATAAATGTGAGGTGTTGCACTTTGGTGAGGCAAGTCAGGGCAGGATTTATACAGTTAATGGTAGGGCCCTGGGCAGTGTTGCCAAACAGAGACACCTAAGGGTGCAACTACAAAGTTCATTGAAAGTGGAGTCACAGGTAGATAGGGTGGTGAAGATGATGTTTGGTACACTTGCCTTCATTGCTCAGTGCATTGAGTATAGGTGTTAGGATGTCAAGTTATAGCTGTGCAGGATATTGGTGAGGCCACTTTTGGAATACTGCATTCAATTCTGATCTTTTCTCTAGCAATGAGATGTTGTTAAACTTGAAAGGGTTCAGAAAAGATTTATAAAGATGTTGCTGGGATTGGAGGGTTTGAGCTATAGGGAAAGGCTGAACAGAGTGGGGCATTTTCCCTGGAACGTTGGAGGCTGAGGGGTGACTTTATAGAGGTTTATAAAATGTGGGGCATGGAAAGGGTGAATAGCGAAGATTTTTTTTCTCCCAGGGTGGGAGAATCCAAAATCAGAGGGCACAGGTTTAAGGTGAGAGGGCAAAGATTTAAAAAGGGACCCGAGGGGAAACCTTTTCACGTAGAGGGTGGTACACGTATGAAATGAGCTACCAGAGGAAGAAGTGGAGGAGTCGGGTACAATTACATCATTTAAAATGCATCTGGATAGGTACATGAATAGGAAGGTTTAGAAGGATATGGGCCAAATGCTGGAAAATAAGACTAGATTTGTTTAAGATACATGGTCAGCATGGACGAAATGGACTGAAAGGTCTGTTTGGATGCTGTATAACTAACTCTGTTAATGCCATTTTTGATGAACAGGTATTAACTATTCCCCGAGCATGTCAGGTAACAAAGATTTTACTGCATTTAAGAAAGCATAACTCTTCATTTATGATATTTAGAGCATCCAAACCAATTTAAAATGCTACAATCAAAGGCAGCAGACTCAAAAAACTTATCAGTAAAAATTTTATCCGATGGGTACTTTCTCAACAATAAAGAAATGTAGAATTGCATAGATTCTATTTTATTGAGAATCATAATTTGCAAATAAAAAACTTAAGTCAATACAACAATGTTGCATATTATTCCTAATTAACTAATTATAATCAGCAAACAACAGCCACATAGAATTGCATTAGAAAGCACACTCTCTAATTAGCCAGATATATATGTGCCTCAAATTCAATCATGGTATTTTGGCCTGGTCTCTGGAATGTAAGGATTAAAAGGGCACTCTAATTGAGGTATATAAGACAACTAAAGGATGTGATACAATAAATAGAAACTATTTCCTTAGAACAGTGCAGGAGGGGACAAACCTTACAATAAGAGCTGGGCTCCTCAACAGTTAAATAGAATAAACTGCAGATGCTGGAAATCTGGAACAAAAACAGAAATTGCTGGAAAAACACGAGTTCTGAAGAAGGTTCTCAGGACCCAAAACGTAGCTGTTTTCTCTCCAGAGATGCTGTCAGATCTGCTGAGTTTCTCCAGCAATTTCTATTTTTGTTCCTCAAGAGTAATATCCCTTCCTCCCAAATCTGAGATTAAATGACCAGGTTAATGATTGTGTAAAAAAAAAACAAATTTAAACCCCTTAATTATTCAGTAGCAGATTTCACACGCAAAACTTTATTTACCCACAAAAGCAAAGTCTAAAGCTCAAGAAACTTTCAACAAACCGTACCAAGCACTTATTTTACACGCTTTATCAAGGAAAATATTTTGACTGTGCAACATTATAAAAGCATATGCTTGCCACCTATTTCCATTACCTACTGCGTGGCATTTTCACAGAATTGTTGCGAGGAGCTCCACGAGCCAAACCAGTCTCTGCTGTCTCAGACTCTGTGCGAGGAAGAATATTTGGAGATGGTTTGGACTCATTCCAATCATCATCCCAGTCATCATCCTCTGCAGCACCTACAGAAGAGTAAATCTAATATTAACGCAAAGAAACAGAAGCTTCCATGAAGGCTCCCTACACATGTAATTTTGTATAAGCATTAATTATTTTAAAAAGTGGTAATTGTGCATAACCCTGCTTAGGATGTTAAGGAAATTCATAAGTGCAGATAGACAATGACTAGGTTTTTCTAGGACAGTCCTTGGCCCATTGCTCAAGAACTGTGAAATGACTGAACTTAGAAACAAATGTATCTTTAAAAATTACATATAAATCAAAGAGAAGCACAAAATCAGAAATTGACACTTCAATTTCCAAAAATTTGAGTAACTTAGGACTGGATCAAAATCTGTAAAAACTGCCAAAATACTAAAAATCTATTACAGATTGCTGAATATCAATTAAATCAGAGTTCCTTCCAAACTTTGGGGCTGGAAAGAGAAAAAGATCTTCAATGGTTGCAATTATAGCAGAGAAATTTCAGACAAAGTAAGGAGAATACTTACTTTCTATGAGGACAGTGGAACAAATATGGTGAATGACATTAAAAAGAGACCTTGTGCGAACACAAACATGCAGTACTATGGGACAGATCAGAGGAATGACCTGGGGTCCTAAAGAATGGTCAATCTCAAATATTAATTCTGTTTTTCTCCAGAGGCTGCCAAACCTATTGAGATTTTCCAGCTTTTTCTCTTATGAAAACTACACAATCTCTCGAATTCAATTTGAAAATTGCAAAAAAGGGGCACAGGGAACACAATATATGATAATATTTCAATCCGTGGAATAAAATATAGAAGCTCACCAATTATGTGCTGCCTGCACATTACCACAATTTTAGCATGCAGACAGCAGGGGTTCCAATATTGCAAAAACCTAGCAGTATGAAAATTTGCTGGCATCTCCCCTTCAATGAATGCCACGTGTTTACTAGCGATACCAAGATCACTGGGAATTGTGGTAGAATGGGACTACAGATTATGTTGGAGTACAATTCTGCTGCTGCTGATGACCCATAAGTGAAGGCACTCAATTCAGTCATAGCAATAATGCATGGGTTGGAAGATGGTATACAAAAGAAACATCGGGCACATGCATGCTGGAGCCAGAGCAAAGCAAAAGGAATGGCAGATGGAGTTCAATTGGGATAGATGCAAGGTATTGTATTTTGGTACAACAAATAGGGGTAGGACATATACAATTATTGGTAGAGCCTTAGGTAACATTGTAGGACAGAGGGACCTAGGGGTGCAGGTACATAATTCTTTGACGTTTGTATCAGATATAGACAGGGTGGTTAAAAAGGTGTTTAGCACAGCTGCCTTCAATGTTCAGTCCTTTAAGTATAGGAGTTGGGAAGTTACGTTGAGGTTGTACAGGATGTCTGGTGAGGCCTCTTTTAGAATACTGTGTCCAGTTCTGGTCGCCCGGTTATGGGAAGGATATTATCAAGCTGGAGAGGGTTCAGGAGCGATTTACCAGGATGTTGCCGGGTATGGTAGGTTGGAGTTATAAAGAAAGGCTGGATCTTTTTTCCCACTGGAGCGTATGAGGTTGAGAGGTAAAATCATGAAGGGTATAGATAGGGTTAATGGTAGTTGTCTTTTAGCTAGGAGACGGGGAATTTCAAGACTACGGGCCACATTTTTAAGGTGAGAGAAGGATTTTTAAAAAAGATATCAGGGCAAATTTTCTATATAGATGTTGGTTTGCATGTGGAACTTCCTGAGGTTGATGTGGGCACAACTGCAATATTTAAAAGGTATTTCAATAAGTACATGATAAGGGAAGTTTGGAGGGATATGGGCCAGGAGCAGGCAGGTGGGACTGGTTTAGTTTGGGATTATGTTTGGCATGGACTGGTTGGACCCAAGGGTCTGTTTTTGTGCTCTTATGACTCTATGATAGCATATTACCTCATTCTGTGGTGCACTATCTCATTGCAAAGGTTACACATGACTTTTATGGACCAGTTTGCACTTAGTCAAATACTTGACGCAAAGAAAAGCTGACTAGAAATCCTCAATTTGATATCAAAGAGCATGAAAGAATCTAACATCAACTTGATGCAAGGTTTTTTCCACAAAGTTTGGAGTCCATCCTTTTCATTATCAAAACAGGCAGCTACTGCCAGCGACACATTCATGAAGTTCAATGAAGAAGAATCTGATGGACAACATCCCAGTATAGGAAGCACCCACCCAATGTTTTTGTGCCATATCTGAATATGCTCAGATAGTGCAACCTGAAGCCAAGCCTTCCAGATACCGAACTGAGCAAGGTTGCCTGCCAAAGTTTCCAATCTGCTCAGCATCCTTCCACTAGCCATGAATTAGCCACTAGGAAAGAACCTTGTAGGAGCAATAGAACAGGCACTATCAGAACATATAATGAATGACCAACTCAATTCTATATTCATTATGGCATGATTTATTAAAATTTGGCTTGTAATGTGCATTTTGCATCAACATTTTTGTATTAAGGATAGTAGAATGATGTGATGGCCAGTAACAGGAAAAAAGAAAGCAGCATGGGACTACTGCCGAGTGCAGAATAGTGATCAAGGTTACCTGACATCATTTATTGTTTGTTCATGCAGATTCTGGACAGAAAGAAGTTGTAAAGGTTGCAACTGCTTCCTCATCCTCTTCTTCCAGCACCACCACTTCAGCTTCTTCCAATGTAGCTTGGGCGAAGATTCTTCCTTCCTGATAGCAAGGTTGTGCAGCAAGTAGCAAGACTTGACACATCTTCACACCAATTCACAGTACTGAAGAAGGTTTCCCCTAGAGTAGTCCAGACGTTGCTGGTTCATAAAACCATAACGTGCAAGAGGTGGGCCATTCAGTCCATTGAGTTTGCCCTGTCGTTCAACAAAATCTTAGCTGATCTATTAATCCACAACTCTATTTTCCTTCCTTTTTTCCTATAACTCGATTCCCTTACTGGTTAAAAATCTGTCAGTCTTCAATATATTTAGCAACAAGCTTATACAGCTCTCTACAATAAGGAATTTCACAAATTCCTCCTCATCTCGGTCTTAAATGTGCAACCTCTTATTCTGAGATTATGCCTTTTGGTCCTAGAGATAGCAAGATCATTGGGAATAGTGGTACAATGGCAGTTACACCACAGCACAAGGCTGCAGACTGTGTTGGACTACAATTCTGCAGTTGATGGCCTGCGAATAAGTCACTCAATCACATAGCTACAGCAACAATGCATGGCTTGGAGATTAGCAGGAAGGTAAAACATCTGGCATGTGAATACTGCAGCCAGAACAAAGGAACAAGGTAGCACATGAAGAGAAACAACCTTTCCTACATCTATTCCATCAAGTCCTCTAACAATCTCATACTTTTCAGAAGGTCAACTCTCCTTCTATATTTCAAGAAGTACAGGCCCAATTTGCTCAACCTCTCCTTATAAAACAGTCCTTCCATACCTGGTATCAGCCTAGTTAACCTTTTCTGGACTCCCTCTCATGCCAGTATATCTTTCATTAGTTAAGGGGCCCAAAACAGTTCATAGTATTTCAGTTGTGGTCTGATTAGTGCCTTGTATAGTTTTAGCAAAACCTCCCAATTTCTGTACTCCATTCCCTTTGACTTAAAGGGCAACATTCCACTATCGTCCCTATTACTCAATGAATTTGAATGCTAGCTTTTTGTGATTCATGGATGAGGATTGCCAAATCCTTCAGCTCTTTGATTTTCTGCAGTCTTTCTCCATTTAAATAATATTCAGCTTTAGTGCAAAAATGCACAACCTCACATTTCCCCACATTATATTCCATCTGCCAAGCTTTAGCACAGTCATAACCTCTTTTCTCTGCAGACTTGGTCATCCTCATCATTTGCCTTCCCACCTACTTCTGTGTCATCCACAAACTTGGCTATAGTACATTCACTTTCCTCATCCAAGTCATTAATATCAACTCTAAATAATTGTGGCCTCAGCACTGATCACTGTGGCACACTATTAGTTAAAGACTGCCATCCTAAACATACACCCTAATCCCAATTCTCTTTTGTCTATTACTTGACCAATCCTCTATCCATGCTAATATACCACCTCCAACACTTGTTGTATGTGGGGTACCTTATCAAATGCATTCTGAAAATCCAAATAAACTATATCTATTGCTTCCCGTTTATCTCTAACCTGACTGTTACCTCCTCAAAGAATTCTAGTAAACTTGTCAGGCACAATTTCTCCTTCACAAAGTCACATTGCCTCTGCTTGATCATATTACGCATTTTGAAATGTTCTATTACATTCTTTAATTCAGACTCTTAACATTTTCCCAATAACAGGCATTAAGCTAACTGGCCTATTGTTAACCACTTTTTGACTCCTTCCCTTTTTAAATAGGAGTGTTACATTGGAAAACTGTCAATCTTCTGGGACCTTCCCAGAATAAGGATTCTTGGATGATTACTACCAGTGCATCCTCTATCTCTGTAGCTACTTTCTTTAATATCCTGGGACGTGTCCATCAGGTCCAGCGCACGTGGCAGCCTTTAGCCTCATTAGTTTCCCTAACTATTTCTCTAGAGTATTTATTTTTATTTAATTGCATTTATTTCTTCTCCTCACTGTTGCCCCTTGAATATTTAGTAATTTTGGAATGTTATTAGTGTCTTCTACTGTAAAGACCGATGGAAAGTATTTATTCAACTCCTCTGCCATTTCCTGGTGCCCATCTTGATTTCCCTAGTCTCATTCTCTAAGGGGCCTTTGCCGTCTCTCCTTTTTATACTTAAAGTTGCGCTTGCTGCCCATCTTGATATTACTTGCAAGTTTACCCTCTAAAATTTATTTTCTTCTTCCATTACTTTTTCTGGTCACCTTACATTGGTTTAAAATAACTTTCCCAATCCTCTGGCTTACCATTAATCTGTCACTTTTTTTTTTCAAATCTGATGCTATCCTTTACTTCCTTAGGTTAACCAATGTTGGCTTATCCCCTTCCCAGAATCCTTCTTCCTGACTGGAATGTGTCTTTGCCATG